TATATATTGTACCTAGATGTAGTTCCGAATTATTCCATTTTTTTCTCTTTGTTTGTTACTGTATATTTTTATTGGCATAACGGATTAACCTTGTTACAACCCCAAGATCCGTCTGAGAGCTCAAAAGTTATCACAAGGTCTGTATAAATGTGTATAAATACCTGCGATTGAATCTTACCACCAAAATACCTTGTTGTCCCCCGATTCACAGCTGCATCCATCGATTTTTGGTTGATAATTAGACGCGACTTACCTATAGATCTTCTATAGACATCCATAATCATTGCTAGACGATGTCCTCAACGCCGTCCCAGCCTCGTCCCAGTCCAGGCGTTCTCCTTGACCCAAACACGACTCACCTCAACGGTCACTTTGCTGTAACCTCGAGGACCAGCAGCGAGGCATCCTTGCAGCGAGTCAAGAACTTGCCTGGTTATACTACACCAGTCTTCAAAGGCAAGGAAGAACAACGCGCCAAGGTGCAAGCCGATGTCGCTGCCAAGGTACTGCGATATACATCTCTCGAGGTTAAATTATGCTCATTGCGCATTGCGTCATGTTCACAGGGTTTCATTCCTCGCGAGTTGGTCGCGAACGAGGTCAACTGGTTCTACTCTCAACTCGGCATCGATGACACCTACTTTCAAAATGAATCGCCGTCTGTAATATCTGATCATGTCATCGCGCTTTTTGGTGCCAAGGTGCTCGCTTATACCAAGCACGACCTCAATAAGCTCGTCATCGACCTCGAGAAGATTGACGAGAAAGGAAATGGAGCTACTTTCATTCACACAAGTTTACCGGGCCTGACTTCCACCGAAGGGCCCGGCGCAACTTGCGAATCGAGGTATGTTTATATCTGATAGCTCACAATCGCTATGCCAATTTTGTGCCTGACACAGAATCGATTCTTTATACCTCGATAATTCCACTCCATCGAATTGTTACCGCCTTGAGACTTTCCGATCCACTGGATCCATATCGGCGACAGCGTCTCAACAGCTGCGTTGTTACTTCGTTACCAAGTGCAACTTCCCTTCTCCTCCACCTCCCTCCACTCGCACTGATGGACGTACCGATATCCGTACGGTCTCCGACACTGCTTTCCTTGAGAAAGCGACCCCGCATACTCTTGAAGTGTACCAGAAAATCATCTGGCAAGTCGAGAGCCGCTATGGTCCTGTCATGGAAGTATTCGAAGTTGAAGGCACTCGTGAGAGGCGTCTTGTCATCGGATACAAAATGGGCGGCACTTCTCGGTTCTTCAGGTATGTGACCAATATATGTGACAGCACGATGGCCTCACCTCATTTGCAGCGCTCTCTCGAACCTCTACCACTTTTACCAGCTGTACTCGGCCCGGAAGTATGTAGAGCAGTTCTCCAATGGGATCACGATCATCTCTCTATACCTGAACCCGATGCCTGGATCTACGGCCGCGCCGATCGAGCACTCTATATTCCAGGTGATGAAAGAAGCATCTCTGCTGTATTGTCTCCCCGACAACCCCTTTTTCCTTGATTCCGTCAACTCTGGACATGCTGTGCAAGAGGCGACCTATGCTTGTATGTTTAACGTTTTTGAGACAGGAATTGTGTTAATTGTTCATTAGATTGTGGTTGGGTTTTCGCTCAACACTTTTGCAATCGCCTGGGTCCCGCATACCTCCACCTTAAGAATATTTTGGACGAATCGAACCCCTCACACGCTGAAGTGCTCAATGATATCAAGAGACGCTTCAGAGAGGAAACTTTCACGCGGGAGAGCATTGCTCAAGTCATCCATGCACATTCGGAAATCGTGCGTTGTCAGTTTCGTTCAGGATCTCGCATTAATATCTCTCCAACAGATCCGCCTTCTCTATGTCAACTTCGCAATGGTACATTATCCAGCTGCGGACGAGGCGTCGCAGCTCGGGTGAGTCTGCTAATGTATTTACCTTTGAGGTGACTTAACGGGAAGCAATCACAGTCCTACTCTCTCCTACCAGCGTCTTCAAACTACGCAGCCCCTGTCTGACTCTGAGTTGTATGATAAAATCAGACGTACAGTGTTGAACAAGCAAGATCTGCAAGTTCTCGAGAGCTTCCTCATTTTCAACAAGTGGGTTTCAAAACGGTTGGGTTGATCGATAATTGACCTTGCTGCAGGCACATATTGAAGACGAACTTCTACCAACCAACCAAGGTTGCGCTGTCCTTCCGCCTCGCACCTGAATTTTTGCCCGAGATTGAATATCCAAACAAGCCCTTCGGAATGTTTATCATCATCGGAAACGAATTCCGTGGCTTCCATATCCGTTTCAGGGATGTTGCCCGCGGCGGTATTCGTATTGTCATGTCGAGGAACAAGGAGTATGTTCGCCTTTTCTGGACTTCGGAATCATATAATCAAGCTCTATGCAATTAGGAACTACTCGATCAACCAGAGGATGTTGTTCGATGAGAACTACGGATTAGCTGCCACTCAATCTTTGAAGAACAAGGACATTCCCGAGGGAGGCGCCAAGGGTACCATTTTACCTTCGTGCGTGATATTCTCTTCCCACCTTGGCGTGTTTTTACTCTTCACCCAGTCTTGGAGCACCTCCCAGACGCTGCTTCGAGAAGTACGTTGATGTAGGTGTGCATTTGTGTATCACTTGTCAAATATTGATCATCCTTTTAGGCTGTCATTGACCTGCTTATTCCCGGCCAAAGCCCAGGAATCAAGGAACGTCTGATTGACCTATACGGCAAACCAGAATTGCTGTTCTTTGGCCCTGATGGTAGGATACTTGTCCAATGAGTTATTGAGGCGACTGACATCCCGTGTAGAGGGTACAGCAGACATGATGGATTGGGCGGCGTTGCACGCTCGTGATCGTGGTGCTGAGACATGGTGGAAGTCATTCACTACCGGCAAGAGTGCCGAGCTTCTGGGTGGTATTCCCCATGATACATATGGAATGACGTCTCTGTCCATTCGTCAATATGTGCTCGGTATTTACAAGCAGCTTGGACTGAGGGAGAAAGACATCACCAAAGTTCAGACCGGTGGTCCTGGTACGTTCGTTTCTTCACTCCTTGGGAATATTTCTTGACGCAATGGTTGCAGACGGAGATCTTGGTTCAAGTAAGTCGTGATGTGGTGTATCCGTGAACTGCGTCGATCAATCACCCGGTAGATGAGATACTCTTGAGTTCTGACAAGACCATTGCTATCATCGATGGCAGCGGTGTCCTTGCCGACCCTGCAGGTATCAACAGGGAGGAGCTCATCCGCCTCGCTAAATGTCGCCTGACCGTCGCTCACTTCGACAAGACCAAGTTGAGCAAGGACGGGTACCTCGTCAAGGTCGAGGAACAGGACATCAAGCTACCCTGTACGTTCGGCTTCCTCAGCGTTCGTTCTTATCTCATATCCGTTCTTAGCCGGAGAAATCGTTCTGGACGGTACGGATTTCAGGAATGGTGCTCACTTCCGTTTCAAGGCAGATCTTTTCGTGCCTTGCGGTGGACGGTCAGTTTATGTCACTACCTGCACGACAACCTGAGCTGATGATCATACAGTCCCGAAGCTGTGAACATTTCCAATGTTGCTGCTTTGACGGATACAGAAGGCAAACCCCACTTCAAGTACATCGTCGAGGGTGCGAATTTGTTCTTCACTCAGCAGGCGCGGTTGCACTTGGAGAAACGCAAAGTTATCTTGTTCAAGGACTCCAGTGCGAACAAGGGTAAGATTGCTTTCTCCTATCACTTGTTTGATGATGTTGACCTTGCTTTAGGTGGTGTTACCAGCTCTTCCCTTGAAGTCCTCGTTGGCCTCGCCCTCTCGACCCAGGAATACCTTGACCTCATGATCTTCAAGGACGGCAAGCCGTCTGACTTCTATCAAAACTACGTCAAAGAGATTCAAGCTAAGATTTCTGAGAACGCCGCAGCGGAGTTCCATTGCATTTGGCGCGAGCACGCCCGCCTTCAAGGCGCCAAGCCCCGGACGCAGATCTCGGACGAGCTGTCGATGAAGCTCAATAACTTGCAGGCTGAGCTTGAACTGTCTGACTTATTTAACGATGTACCTAGCCGCAGGGGCGTCATGAAACGCGCCATACCCACTACTCTGGTGGACCAGGTCGGTCTCGACACCCTGCTGGAGAGGCTTCCCGAAACATACCAGCGGGCTCTGTTCTCGAGCTGGGTTGCTTCGCATTACGTGAGTTTTAGCAGCATCTCCTTTTCTTGCTTCCTGATCATCTCCACCTTCATCTTGCAGATCTACAAATACGGCGTTAACAGTTCCAGTGTAGACTTTTTCCATTTCGCTCGGGATCTCTCACGGTAATGATTGTTTTGGGACTTTGAGATGACTGCATACTGTACATAAGGAGAGGACGATAATGGACGCTGTACGAGATCAGGACGGATAAGACAGCTCTCTCCTGCCTAGTTATAATAATGTACCAATGTGAGAAGACGTTATAAATATCTTTGTAGATGATGCCACGTAGACCTACGTAGAATCTCCATCTCCGATATTGACGCAATTGGTTGCGATTGGTGGAGGCTTGACTTACTGCCTGCAGAAAATGTCTCCAGGTAAAAAAAAATTGATCGATTCATCCAATCGGGGACACGCAGCAACCGCAGAGAGTTCACATGTTTGTCGATGAACCTTCACAACGGTATTCTATCCGATAAGTCCTTGCACGTCTCAGATCTTCATCTCATCGCGTTGGAAGAGGGTGATAATCGCCGATCCACCCGCGATAAGTACTATCTAATCAGATCCAACCTTTGAAGCCTTCTCACACCGCCCAACACCCCGGACCACCCTCCTTTCAGGAACCGTCCTATCATAGGATCCTCAGATCACGGATTATGGATATTGAAACATTTGCAATCATTGCTATTTGCGTGAAACTGCAGTTAAAAAATCACGAAAGCTGTGATTAAAGGACAACTTGCGAGCATCCACATCGATGTGACCGTATGAAACTCAATCAATCAAAGCAAAAACTCTCTGGCGGGGAATCGAACCCCGCTTTCCCGCGCACAGCAACCTGGTTATGATGTGACAGGCGGGTGTACTATCCGATATACTACCAGAGACTTGTTAGAGGAGGTAAATATATCTATAAGTTGAGCCAACAGTTATCATTTGATATTAATGTTTTGTGAAGTGTGAACAGACTTATTCAAATTGGCGCGCAGTTGCGACGACTCACCGAGCATGGGGCTCAGAACTATCAAGTAAGTCCTGTTTCATGCTCTTAACATTCCAAAGTAGAGACACTGACTCCCAACTGACTCTTTGAATCTACTCCTTTGTCCTCGCGTACGTGGCTGTGCTTCTACACAACAAGATTACTTGGTCCTAGATTTTGGGTATCGGTCACTGAACACCAGGCGCAACCTGTCTTACAGTGCTTCTTTATCAACGATGTCGGATGGCATCAGTATCTGAAGCCAAAGTAGGTACCAGTAAGTTATGCCTTGACAATATCAATGTTGCGACAATGGGTCGGCGCATCATGGGCCTTAGCTGTACTCAACAAAATGGCTTGGTCCTCACAGGTCCTCACATGTGGGCCAGTGATGCTCAAGGCTTTTTGTTAGCCCTCGCCACCTTCGTACCAGGATATTATATCGCATTGTGCCAATGCTTTGACGGTCTTTATGCAGGACCTGGGTAAAGGTCTACCACCAAGGTCTCAATGTCAAAGCTCCACATCGCTGTGGCCCTTGTTCACCTTATAAATTGCCATTGGATTTGAATCGTACTCATCACAGAAAACCAACGTATTCCCTCATCACAAAAATCAACATATCCCCTCATCCTCTAGCCATGACTACTTTTGAACTCAGGTCACAGATGAACCAACTCTTTGAACCTGCAGGGTCAGTGTTCCGATGCGATGAGATTCGATACCCAGCTGTCTCCGGGCAGTCGAGCGCTGGCACGCCCGATCGTTCCTTGAATGGATCCCCTTGCAGCAGCAGTGCAACATTATTTGAGGAAGGCGAAGAACTAGCTCGCAAGCTCAAGGATAATCAACTCAGTGAGGCATTGGTGCAGGAAACCATGTCAGGCGTCCGCTCACGTCACATTTTGGCGCCCCAACCCATCAAAGCCGAGTTCAATCTCAATGCCGCGGCATTCATTCCTTCGGCTTCCACCATCCGCCTTTTAGAGTCCGGCTCCGCTCCTCCAACCGGCGTGACGCAGACATGGCAGGATATCCTTCGCCTTGGCACGCGGATAACTGATCGCCCTTTCCGACTTCGCCTGGCGCGGCAATTGTCGGACATGGGTCCGTGGACATTCGATACGCTATGCGACCTTGCTCAGCATTTCTACTGGGCAATTGCAGACAAAGTGAACATTATGAACCTTGGACCGGAGGCGGGGCTCTTTGCGGTCGAAGTGCGTGATGCATTGAAGGCCCATGACTCCGTGTGGGAGTCCGAGTGGGACTCCAGCTGCTTTATATTTCACCTCCAAAAGTATGCCTTAGAGCACTTCAAATCATACTGGTGTTCTCTCGTGCGTAGTCTCACTGTTCCTTCTGACAAGTACTCACCATCACACAGGATAATCCACATGCTATTTCCCTGCAGAATAGACCTGACGCCAAGCGGTGGAAGTCCGCGTTGGATTTGTCTGGCTTCATAGCAGACATGTTTTCATTCGGCCTCATTAAACCACCGACAATCCACGAGTGTCTGGGAATTCTCTTGCACGAGATGGTCAGCGTTGAGCACGTGCGCGCTGTCCAAACCATGGTTAAACGCGCGGGACCGCTATTATGGCAAACAGCCGATAGTCATGAACGCTACCATGAATTCACCACACGTTTTTTGGAGCGCACCAGCTTATTGCCGGATAATGCAAACCTGACTGGACGAGAAGAATCCGTCCAGAAAGTGATACGGGTGGGTGCATTATTGCTGGACAGCCCGTGTAGAGTTAACACACATTGCTCACCACACAGGCTGATGATATTATCTGGCTGATCGGTGAATGGCATGCGCAGCGATCCGAATGCCCTTCGCCCGTGGTAAAATCTATTTGGGTGTAACTTGAGCTTAACCCTTTCAATGATTCGATCTGTTATGTCGTATCGTAGATTAGTGTCTTCGAAAAAAATGCGTTATGAAGAACGTCAGGTGTGATTATAATATTTTTCTGCGGTGATTCAAGCACCATTTAGGGGTTTGGGTGACGCAGATAATTCCTTAGTGTGAATGTGCTCTGTGTCACACGAATTCGAGGTTCACTTCGAGAGATTCACCTGACAATGAAATAAGTCGAGGAGAAGTCCTGTTTTTTTTACACGTTTCTCGGGAAATAAGAATGGCCTGAACCGATGGGGGAACCGATTCCGAACACTTTGAATCGGGTGCCTATCCAGGTCAGCTGTCCTATTTCTTCGACATAAATAAATAACGTTTCTACTGTAACATTTCTACTTGTTGCACGCGCTTGTGATGACCTCTAAAAAGCATCATCATCATTAACCTTGGGTGCCGGAATATGGGCTCGAGCCCACGAGGACGTCTGGTATGTTGCGTTCAATAGAGGATCTAGAGGGCAAAGTGCCCACGACGCTTCTCCTTCTGACGAATTGGGTGAGAGTAACGCCACTGCTGCCAATGAGAGATATGTGTGGTAGGGATCTACGACGGCGTTTGTAGCAACGGTATCTCAAAGTGTTGGAAACCCACGTACCAGGGTGCTCGCCGGGAATCTTTGCAATCCCGCCGTACTTGAATTGGCAGGATGCTATAAAGGATGACATTGCTGCTTTGTCAACCAAATCGCCTGCGCCCAACACCTGGTACGATGAGACGGAAATTAGTCGACTGTCCGCCTGATAAGACATCAAGGAACTATTGTGACTTACATGCAGTGATGCGCCACACCAGAAACAATAACATGCGTCGGCGTCCTTGTTGGTCCGTCCACGAAAACCGCCATTAGATGCTTGATTTTGTACAAGCCACCGTACGGTTTTCTGTCGATCTTGAGAGGAAAGAGTTTCTAGCTGTTTAGCTAATTGGAGTGATGCCAGTGCACAATACGTAGTGCCACCTAAGGGGGAAAGGTGGATGAGATTTTGTCATGTCAGAAGGCATGGCGCACTACCCAGAGCCTCCCCAAATGGTGATTGTCCATAGCCTCCTTCGTATGTCTTAAGAACGACTTTGAGAACAACCCCCGATATAATGTTGTCGCATGCTTACCCGACACGAAGAGATGAACTGGAGAGCACTTGTAACATCCATCCCTGACCAGTCGTCGAGCATGGTGCTTATGGAAAAAGCGCAGAACGTTGTGCGTAGATCAGAGTCGCCTCCTAAAGGCTCGGAAGAAAAGCTAGGACACGGGATTTATGCCTAGGGAGTCTTGGAGATGATGTAGGACTTACCTTCCATCGCTGTTCTGACAGGACCTGAGAAAATCCAGAAGGCCCTTCCTGTCAAGACGCGAAAAGTTGTCGCGCAATATTGACAGCGAGAGAAGGGCAGCATAAGTCATGATGATCTGAGGGGTATCATGGTCCGAATATTCTTCTGTCTTCAGACTGGAAATCAACGGATGTCGATAGAAGAAATGACCAATTCTCACCGCTGATTTTTCTGTAGTCATATAAGAACTCGATCGAAAACCGGTTCCATATGGTCCGCCTAATGGGTGTGCTCGATTCTCCAACGCATGCGTATGTCAGGATCGGCTCACGAGTCTGTTGGCTCCATATCCATTCCCTCCATTGTTCTCTTTCCCAATCCCTGCTCTTCTTTTCGAGTTCATCGGAAACATCCAAGGAGCCTAAGCAGTAAAAGGATAGGGCCAGCCTGTGATAATCGCGTTAGAATGACTGTTGTGTAGATCGGCGTTGAATCATGGACTTGGCTGGATCAACATCCACCTGGGAAGATGGCAAGCCGGACAAGCATCTTTTGCAGTGCGTTGCATGACTACCTTTGCTCAGCGGAGGCAAACTTGTCGGCAACATTTGGCAATTTCCTGAAAAGGGGCCTCCCTGGTCAGATCAATAGAAAGAATAGGTGTTCCTGACTTGAACGCTAGAAAGCAGGGCTGACTCCTGCATGCCAGTCAAACCATCGATGTGTAGTTGTCGGATCAGGAAAACCTCCCCGGGCGGGCCGTTTTCGCATCTCAGCGACCCTGGCTCGTGTGGAAATGCCTTTCAACTGGCACTCGCGAGCGCGGGTAGTCGAGACTTTCCGAGATGAACCACCGAGGAGATGGATCCCCTGTTGCTATACTCGATCCACTCTCACATAAGATCTACGATACACCCTTTCGAGAGATCAACCTCAATGATGACGTATTAGAAGAGCTTATCCACAGCACGTGCAGCTCTTCAGCTTGAGACTTTCCAAGGTGAACTATGGAGAAGATTTCTGTTGTTATGCAAGCACTCCTCGATTCACTCTCACATAATACGATCTACTGCCTTTTGAGAGGCGTCTTGTACTAAGATCCGATGGCCCCTGCGCTGTGGAGGGTCTGCGAGCTATACCATACCGTGCTGAAGATGATTGAACTGAAAAAAGCACGTTCAGCTTTGACTGAGGAAGGTAGCGTTCAAATGGTGGCGCCAGAGACCACGAGGTTCAACGTCAATTATTTGATAGAGCCATTCACGGTACCCACCCAGATAGAGCCATATCCTAAGTGCCCACTGCTGTTATGTTGGTTTAATATTACGAATGTATGGGTCGGACTCGTACTCCGCCACCCCACCTTGTAGGGTGGGTAAGGGAAGACTGCGGGTGAAAGATAGCGTCAGTAGATTGGAATTAGGAAGTATGAGATGGACCGGCAATATTTTCTGATGCATAATCATCTAATCCGTTGGGTGGTACTCTATCGAATTGTTTAGTCCTCTGCTGAAGTCTCTGCCTTCTTCCTGATAGCGACAGCACGTAGAGTAGTTGGGTCATGGGATGACGAGTGAAGGGTGGGCGGGTGTTCGGTATGTCCGCATGAGATCCGTGCAATTTTTACTGTAGCATGTGCTGATACTACATCTAACCAATTGGCTTGAGTCTTCCGGTGCTGTTCACGAATGTGAGCGGTG